AAATATTTAAATATATTTTCGTTGATTTTTTTTCTTAATAGATGTCGCTAGTTGATGAAGAAAAAGAAAAATAGGTGTAAACAAAACACCTGATCATGCAATTGAAATTCAAAACAATTCATTTTTTTTCTTCTATGAGTAAATCGTTTATTATTTTTTATTGTTCGTTTAAAAAAATGAATAAGTTCATTTGACAAAAACCTATAAAAGGGCATCAAAGGAAATGGAAAGTCAAAGTCAATTATAATTATTATATTTTTTCATTTTTTTAATAATAAAAATAGTTCATAAAAAATTCATATGCCATTATGATTCATTTGTTTTTAACAATGTAATCAATAAAGATGCATAATTTTTTTTCCCTATTGTTTTTATGTTGGACAAATTTGATAAGTAAAATTTTTGAAATTTTTTAGTTCAATTAAAAAAAATAAAGTACTATTGTCAATGTAAAATCTATGGCTGGTAATGAACGTGCGAAACGAGAGTAAGTATAAAAGAAATAAATAATTCCTGTCTTAGTATTTTAATATTTTTTAGTTCAACAGATCGAAGTACTTTGAATAAAATATTTAATGATTTAGAACGTAGTGATAAAACAGATAATGAACAATTAGAAGATAAAGCATTACAAGAATTTCAGTAATTACATCTTTATACATGGACATATTTTATTTTTATTTTTTATTTAGAACAAAATTTAGCAGTAAAGCTAAATTTTCAAGTAATGCCGAACATAGACAATTCTTAAATGTATGTCATATATTTAATAAAATATCAAATATTTTATTTTATTTCTTAGATTTTACGATTTATTATAAAGAAAAAAATACTTAATGCGTAAGTATATTAATATTTTATAGGATAAAAAGAAAACCTTTGTTTAATTGATATGTCATAATAATATCGATCTCTTTAAGATCGATTGATGATGATGTCATCTGGATGAAAAAGAAATTTTTAGATTGTTTAATATTGAATCTAGTTTACGGCTAATTATTCAATAAACTAACTGTTTAAATATTTCTATTAAGTGTTAAAAAATATCCTCAAGTAATCATATAATGAGACTATTCTGAACATGATACCTAATCAAGATTTTATCACATAGTGATAGAAGAATAATTTAAATTCAAATTTTATCTTTCGTTCTAAAATAAAACAGATTTATTGCTAGTTGAAGTAAAACTCGAGTAGAAATTCTCTATCTAAAAAAAACTTACTTCAATATTTTTATTTTCTAGTACAAAAAAATTGTGTTCAGTATCCGTATTTTATTGTTTACGAATATTATTACGTGATGCTGAATATCAACTTGTTTTTGTTCAAGAAAATGGAATTGCCGGTTTAAAAACTGTATGTCTTATTTTATTATTTAAGTATATAATTTAATATTATTTTTATTCTAGCAAATGGATTTATATTTTCATAATCATTCTACAGATCTCTGTGATAGTAATAATGAATCAGCATATACAGCTTGTAAAGTATTTGGACATATGCTTAGTAAGTTAATAAATAAATGTTCATAGAAATAAAATTTTTATTTTGAAAAGATATTCTTCTTAAACTAATAATGCATACACCGGATCATATCGAACGTGAATATGTGATATCAAGTGAAATACTTGAATCAATAACACGTCTTTTGAATAATACACAAGATTTAACAATTTTACAAGATATATTAAGATTATTAATGAATATGATTGATCAAACGTAAGAATTCGATTTGATTTTTTTCAAATATTTTATTATTTTATTTTTTTAAGAGAATTATATGTTAAAGAAATAGTTAAATCAGATACCATTGATTGTTTATTACAGATACTTTTATATAAAGATCTGGAAACAAAACAGTATGTGAATTAATATGTGATTTCAAAAAAAGAAAATTTAATAATTCGATATTATAGACTTGCTTTACAACTTATGGCAAACTTTCTTGGTCATCCAGAAGGACGTGAATGTATTCCACGAGTACCCAATGATTTTCTTGATGCTTTCACTAGGTAAAAAATCAAAATAGACAAAGACAAATTTTAATAAAATTTTTTCTATTTATTTTAAGTCATTTAAGTCGTAATAATGTCAAAGTTCTTGATCATACAATCTGGTGTTTAACTCATTGTGCTGAAAATGAAGACAATCGAAGACGTATTCGTATAACAGGAGCCATACCATTATTATTATCACTTCTTGAAAATGAGTAATTAATTTACATGCTATACACAACAATAATTCTTTATGTTGTATTTTAGAAATCGTTTTTTTGATTTTTCACTACCATCAGCAACTGTTAATCAAAGACAAACTGGACAAAGCTCAAAAAGACATACAAGAGAAGATGCAGAGGTAAATGGAATATTCCTCATGTCATCAAAATCGGGGGGAATCGATGATTTAATCGTGATTTAGCACCCGATTAATTGTGAGATTTATCGCGATAAAATCGTCCGAAGTGACGATTATTTTTTGGATGAAAATATAGTCATCATAAATGACAGAATTTTAATAGACTAGATAATTTAACATCATTTTATACTGCACTATCCATGCTACCAAAAATCCCGAAAAAATTACCGATTTTATCGCGATATAGAAGCCGATTAATTGTGAGATCTATCGCGATAAAATCGCCAAAATTAAGGACTTTTTGCCGATTTTTTTGGCGAAAAGGCTTGATTCGTAATGATTCCAATAAAATAAGTATTTCTTACTGGCGATATAATCGTCAATATTTTAAAAAATCGCGATTCATCGCCCAAACCTTGGCTATTTTGAAGACACGGGTCTTTGCAATTGAAAATAATCTCGCTGTCGTGATAATACTAAACTAGAATTTCTATTCCCTAAATCCATTAGATGACTAGTAGTAGATAAATTTCTTTGTCTTAATACCTTCGATCGGCTCTTACTGTAAAATTAATACTTATATTATGTTTATAGAGATTGAATATCGCTGTCTTGTATTTTTCATCTAGTGTTCGTTAGTGTCAGATTACTGATGTACATTAATATAGAATTGAAAGAACTGTTGTATATAATAGATTAAAAATAAACATGTAGCAGAATTTAGAAAAAAACAATAACTTTATGTTAAAAGATGGTATTAACAAAATGGCGGATCTAGGATTTTAGAAGGGGGGGGGGGGGGGATTGTTTTTTAGTATAGAGGGGCGATACCTAGGGAGGGGGGCGCGATTTTGGCTAAAAACTATTTTTTGAGTCCAACCGAAGTAATGTGAACCTAATTTTTCGTTCATTTTTGCTATAAAAATCGAAAAAAATTCGGAAGGGGGGGGGGCGATCACCTCCTCTCTAACTCTACCACTGTATTAACATATCACCATGAAACTAGAAGTGAAATGTTTCTGCTATTAAAATTGTCTATGAATTTTTAGGTTATGTCTCGTCGTGATCAACTGTTCGATATGCAATCTGCTTGTTGTACATGTTTAGCTGAACTATCATTTGATTATACTAATAGTCAAACAATTATTGAACGAAATGGAATTTATATCTTAGCCGTACTTCTTTTTCCTGAAAATGATGATTTTCAACGATTAGAAAAATTCAATCATCTTCAAGTATATTTTTATTCTTTATCAAATAAATATATATCGTTTAATGTATTCTTTCTATAGCGTAATGTATTTCGAACATTAAGATATTTATTTTCATTAAATAAAAATCGTGATCAATATCGAAGATTGTTTCCAGCATCAATATTTGAATTATTTGTTGGTCTTGGTAATTTTCAACGTGATTTAAATGCATATAAAATAATAACTGATGCATGGAATACAATTCATATTGATGAATTAACAAAAATTAAACTTGAACGTCTTCAATCACTCAATCCAAAACAAGAACCAACAAGATATATACGTGATTATGGTGTTTATGAATGTCTCGGTTCAGGAGCATTTGGTTCAGTTTATCGTGTAGCTAGACGTGGAACATCAACAATGTGTGCACTTAAAGAAGTATGAATGAAAAAACTTCTTCATTCTTTAAATAATAAAAATTTCTTTCGTAGATTGATAATCGTTCCTTACGAACTGATAGTGATCGTAGTATAGGACAAAAAATAAATGAAGTCAGAATAATTCGTGAAGAACTTCGTCATCCAAATATTGTTAGTTATTATCGAATATTTGCTGAAAGTATGAATTTCTTCTATCATTATTTTATAATATATATATATATATTGAATTTTGATAGATGATAAATTATATATTGTTATGGAATTAATAGCTGGATCATCTTTACAAGATTATTTATCATTATTAAAAGAAACAAATAGAAAAATGATCGAAGAAAATATTTGGAAAGTTTTAATACAACTGATACTTGCATTAAGATATTTACATAAAGAAAAAGGAATTGTTCATCGTGATTTAACCGCTAATAATATTATGTTAGATGATGAATATAGAGTTAAAATTAGTAAGTTTATAATATATATATGCATTATTAACTCAAGAAATATTTATTTTCTAGCTGATTTTGGTTTGGCTAAATTACGTGATAATGATTGTAGTAAAATGACATCGGTTGTTGGTACATTATATTATGCTTGTCCAGAAATTGTTCAACATATGCCATATAACGAAAAAGCTGGTTTGTTGTTTTATATATTATTTAATATTTCTTTTATTTTTTTGTTTGTTTAGATATTTGGAGTTTAGGTTGTGTACTTTATCATATGTCTACATTAGTTCCACCATTTTATACATCAAATATTCTTCAACTTGCTGGTAAAATTTGTGCAAGTGATTATGATCAAACACCATTAAAACATTATTCTGATCG